GATGAACTATATTATGGGCGGGAGTTCTCACATTTCGTTTAATTTCAATAGATGGCCACTTGAAGCGGTTCCTCCCATAATAATATTTTATAGATGAAATGGATTCAGTCTCTGGTTTAGTGATGAATTGTTAGGTTCAGAAAGTTCTGATATCGTGGAATACGAACTCTCATTTGCAAAATCTTCTTGGCATTCATCTTCGTAGCTTACTTCACTTCCTACTTCATCACGAATTCTTTGCAGCTCTTCTGCATAATGCGAATCGTGAATTTGCAGTAACTGACGATAACACTTGAGGAAGAATCAAAACGCAATCTATTCGCCAGTATTACACAGGTGAGTTCCAAAGATACCTTTACGTGGAAAAGTTAAAAAACTACGCTAAACATGCTGAAACGATCAACAGTACAGACTTCAGACTATAACGGTGAAGACAGCTTCATGGCTAAGCACTAAAGTACAGCTCTTGACTCGGTTCGATCGCTATGAAGCTAATCTCTGAACTCAAGACACTATGACTGAACTCAAGATACTCTTACTCCACGCACAGGCAGGGTAAATTTAGCTTTTAACCTACCTTCGAGAACATTCTCGTTAAGAATGCGTTCTGGAATGTTCTCGCTCTGTCTATGGCATATTGCCAATTTTGTCACCAAATAATGGATTTTGTACCAAATCTGGCAACCCTACGTTTACTTGCTACTTTCTGGCAAACCTAATCCAGTTTTGCAGGGAAGCTATCTTATATTCTCAGTAATGCTTTCGAGGTATGAAGTACAGAAGTTGAATTTGTTTAGTCGGCCAAGTGGAATGGGAAATATGGAAATTGTGCATCTTTTTTTTTCCCTGATTAGGCGTTTGCAACTGCGTTATTTTTTCGTACCATTAGTTACTTCTCTCAAAGTGCACATTATTTGCATCATTTACTTAAAACGTAGATATCTTGGAAAAATGAAACCTTCTGCATGCTGTGCAACGAGTAATAAGTACTTACGGTAATTCTTTCAATAATTATGTTCTGGTTTATGCACATGAGCAAGGAGTGGAATTCTAAATAATTGTGGAGCAATAATAATGTACAGGATGGTTCAAGAATATCTGGAAAAAATACACCGGCAAGTAGAAAGGACCAAAATAAGCAGATTTTGTAATGCAATGTGTCTGTGGAAATTGCGCGTTGGCGTGAAATACGGGCAATTTTAATTTAGCGATACTTAAAAGAGTTCTGTTGGCGCTATTATTAATTTTTCGTGAGAACATCAAGCAATATGCATCGTTATACGAATGAAGATTTCGCCAACTTGCATTTTATGTGCGGAGCTAAGGAAGCAGTTAATAAAGCAGTATAAATTTAAGAGCGTTCAGTTCTTTTAAAAATAACATGTAAGTAATACAGTTTGAAATTCTTTTCCATTTGTTAAATTTTCCCTTTATTTTTTTAATACTAAAGATGCGAAGAAGTTTATGGAATTCAAGAAAAGGCTTACATCTAAACACACATTTACGAATTTTAGCATAAATGCTTTTCTTATTCTTGCAAGCTTTCCTTCAATTTTGGCCCACCAGCGGCAGAGCAGTAACGTCGCTGAGCACTGGTAATTCGTTTCTCAGTTCGAATCCCTGCAAAAGGGAGGCTGAGTACATGGGCGTTTTCATGCTTTCTCCATGGCTTACTTGTACACAAGCCAGTTACCCTTATAAAGTCTTCCACAGAGGCATCCCTTCCCTTAGGCATATAGCCTTTAGTGCTTTGCCATAATCAAAGAAACCAAACCCTCCCCTAACTCTGAACTGTTTCGCTTCTATATTTAACAATTATTTCTATATTTAACGACTATTTTATAGATATAGTTAAGAAATACTACGAATTCTCTCAGGAAAAGCATTTTACTCTGATATATCTTGTGTGTGAAATCCGCGAAGTTTAACTTCAATATGGTACTTTATGACAAATACATGCTATAACTGCGGCTTATAAATGTGAATTAGGCTAATCTTTAGAATATGGTAACAGGTAATTTGGCGAAATTTTGGTAAGGCGATGAAGGTTACTAGCTAAGACTTAAGCAATAATCTGAGAAGTACACAGTTCGAATCACAGATTATTTTGTCTCAGAGAAATGAGAGATCATGAGACATGTAATGTGACATTTTCCGGAAAACTCCGATCGTGATTTTAGCTAATAAGCACTTAGAAACAAGTTTGCTGTTAAAGTGCAGAATCGCCCACTTATTTGTTTGGCGCTTTTTACAAGAGTAAGAAGAACTGGATTTTTTTCAATTTTCTTTGCCTTTTTAAGTGAAAATAGGTCGATTTGTACATAGATAAAGTCAAGAGTGTGCCCAATGCCATTTTTGTGCAATTCTGGGATGCTTTGTTTTCAGTGAAAATAGGTCGACGTGTACATGGATACTGTTTATGCGCAATTCTTAAAAACGCGGGAACCAGTTTGCGATTCTGCACTTTCTTCCAATTTCGCACCTAATCTTCGTCATGATTAAGCATTTTTGTTCCATAAAAGTTCTAGTATAAGCGTAATTCGGCTAGCAGATTTTTTGGAAAAAAAAGTTAAAAAAAAAAAAAAAAAAAAAAAAAAAAAAAATTGTGCCTTTACTTTGTGAAAACAAAATGGCGTCCAAAACAAAACTAGCAGGTTGCTGTAGCAGGGTTGGTCGCCAAATTTTCGCCAAAAAATCGCCAAGTTACCATAATGTAAATATTCACCGTGATTTAATCACACATGTATTCACAGATATCAGAAAAATATTTTAAATATATGTCATTAGCTGAGATTAAGGAAATGCTTATTCAATTTAAAATATTTCGAGAAATAACAGGAAGTAACATTATAAAACATCATTTATTTCACTCAACATGTTAAAGAAAATAGTACAGTAAAAACACTATATACAGACAAAAATCCATTGATATGTATAACATTAAAGCAACAAGGTGAGCAGAATTTCGTGTATCATACTTACTAAATAATGAAAATATTGCCACTAGTCGTATTGTGATATTGCAACAGTTATTACACGTCAAAGTTACATTTCAGTAATTCGGTTTATTTACTCTGCCTTATAAACTGTTTAGTTTCTTAATATAACAAGAAAAAGCACATTTTGATTGTATAAAGATGTCTCCATAAATATTAAATGCACATTTAAGTTTTATTCATGACACTTAGCAAGACACCATTACATTATAATATATAAGAAAAATTATTTATTGTGTTATAAATGGAGATAATGTTTACCATTTATGTAAAATTATAGAACAGAAAATAGTAAATTATATATAGATGTATAGGATGTCTCAGAATAAAGTCCTTCACCAGTGGTCGAATGACAAGATCGTTGAGGATTGGTAGCTCGAACCAATCGAATTCAAATCTCGGCTGCAAGCTAGTTATATGGAAGTTTTGTGTTTTACGTCAGATATTTTCATTTAGAAAACCTTTCGCTGAGATATAATTACTCTTAGAATGATGGCCCTAGTATCCTTGCTGTAATTCAAATAATCTAAACCTATTGTAGAATAAAATCATGAGATACCAGGCATGCAATCTGCAGTTGAAGATAAGTAAAAGCAGAATATCAGCCAAAAAATGCAGAAGCAAAATGCTGTCCGATGAACCTACGTCAAGATGGTTCATCTAACAGCATTTTTCTTCTGCATTTTTGAATGATGGCCCTAGCATCTTTGCTGTAATTCTTGCTTGTAGAATTTAACCTGCTTGTAGAATTAAGAATTGAAGAATTGCTTGTACTGTGCTTGTAGAATTAAAACCTATTCTAGGATAAAATCATGAAATATCAGGCATGCGTTCTGCAGCTGAAGATACGTAAAACCAGAATATCAGCAAAAAAATTCAGAAGCAAAATGCTTTCCAATGAACCTACATGAAGATGCGCTTAGTTAATGTGCTATGGACTGTTGAAGACCAAGGAGAATGGGAGCTACTTCTGTCCCCTCTTGTCACTCTCCTACGAAGAATTCTGGCATTACTTAATCATCCAGAATTTCGTTCATGCATTCTCGTAGGACGTTAGCCATTGGATCCTCAGCATTATTGTCGTCTTCGAACACATCCATCATGATGATATGCTGCTTCTGGTGCTCTAGAGTTCCGCGTTTCGAACCGTTTTGTAGTGTTTATATTGTAGAGACATTAGGTATTTTTGATACTGAGAGACGTGGAAAATTAGCAGTGTCTTCGCCGGGACTCGAACCACGGAACTCTCGAATACGCTCTAAGCGTGCTGACCACTACACCACGAAGGCATGCTCAGAAGGCAGGAGAAATACGTTATAATGTATATATGTACAAAGCTCTTCTTATTGTTTTTGTAACCTTTTATATAATAAAGGATTACACTTTTCACTCGAAATTTTGTAACTTTACATACTGCATTATCGAATTAATTGTCAATGATAAACTTGGCATTTTTTCTCTCAATCATAAAATATGATGAACCTTATTGTCCTATCTTTCACCTGCTAATTTTCACGCACAATGTACTTGTATGCATCTGCCAATAAATTTTCAAGGATATTCTTTGATTATCTTGTAAGGATTATGTTAATTTTATTAACAGTTAAATTAAGTTCCTTTCCTATCTATTCTTAACTTCAACTTACCACTTCCGGCAAGAACGTAGTTTTAGAATCACAAAATAGATAATGAGGAAGAGCGGTATTTAAACGCGAAGTTCTTCGGTCTTTGAGAGAGAAATACCAGGTATTCTGGCTGCACGCGTCCGCCTTTTTACTCTCGTAAGCTATTATCACGTTCGGCCGTACTTTAGGCCCTTGATAGCTTCGCAGTCTATTAAAGGTAAGGGTTCAACTCTGTTGAAATTTTGATAGCTTCGGCTATACCGCTTTAGTTTAGATTAGTTTAGGTTAATTCTTAGTATCTTAAGTTCAAGCCGAAGTGTCGGGTTTTTTGTACATTCCAAGACGGAGTTTTGTTAAACTTCAGTTGGAATAATAAAGGTTTAGTTTACTCTTCTATCTTGTTGTTTCCTGTCACACGTACACAAGCGATTATTCGCTTGTTTCTTCTTAAGATTCTTCACTTCCAACAGTAACTTAGAATCACACAGTGAGGAACTCTACAATCTTCTACCACAGAATGCACTATCAGCGTTTGGCTAATTTATTCTGCCATCCCATATAAAAAGGTAACTTTTGCATCCACTTGCTGTTGATGTTGAATATTTCATAACTGGTAAATAATGCGTTTCTCAGGATATCCTCATATGAAATTATTTTGCTTATCTTCGACCATAGAGCTCATGTCTCGCCTCTGGCAAATTTATTCTGAAACACCCTAAATGTATGTATATATGCAATTAATAAACATTTAAAACAATTTTTACACAACACAAATATGTACACTTGCAATAGATATTATACGGTGCTTTTAGAGAAAAACATTCACAAGGAAGAATATATTTGGCTAATGCAGTCAATAGACAATAAAAAGAAATATGATAATTAGAGGTAAAATAATACATTTTCGAATGATAATTTTATTTCGCTTTTGTATGATTATTATTAACTTGTATTTTATATGTGCAATAATAAATCCCTTCTTTCTTTCTTTTCTTTTCTTTGTTGATCTTGAGGTAACCTTGACACTAAAACAACGCATTTTAATTAGATCAAAAAGTCAAATCAGTAAAAATTTTCTAAAATTTGTTACAACGTAAGCGATTGTTTCTTAATGAAACATCCAAAGCATTAACCCATTTTTACGATCTGAATTTCATTTAACTTCCAAAATGAAGCTTTAAAAATTCCATTTCTTCTTATAGCCAACAAATGTTATGTGATTAAGTTATTACATCTGCATTGCATTCTTGACTGCTATTTAAATTTAATGAATGTTCGAATGATTTTAATTTAATTTCACACCAAGAGAAGATAATTTTGTAATCAAGTATTCCACTGAAACATCACAAGCTGCTGAGTTACAATTAAATTTATTATGAATAACTCAAGATAACCAATTTGTAAATGCAATCTTGATGTAGATGATGACCATCCGTCCGGAGATCCTGAAAGAAAATATAAATTACATTAATTTCAATTTAATGTATCTCAATTTAATATATTAAATTTTTAAAGTAAATATATATATTAGCAATACAGTTTTCCAAAAGCTATGAGTCACTTCTAATTAGAACTTTTCTCGAATTAAGCTAAGGCCCACCAGCGGCCGAGCGGTAAAGTCGCTGAACACTGGTAGTTCGGTCCGAGGTTCGAATCCCGCGAACGGGCTGGCTGCATGGGTGTTTTCGTGGTTTTCCCCATGTGTAACGTGTATACGAGCCAGTTTCCCTTGGAAAGTCCTCCACGAAAGGCATCCCTCCTCTTAGGCAGATAGCCCTAGTGTGCTTTGCCATAATTAAATACACCAACACACCGAATTAAGCTAAACAATTTTATGGATTTTGCTTGGAGGGTTTCCGTATTTTTTGTGCCATTTGCGTGCGTTGCGCTTCTTCACTGACTAAGTAGCTAAAGGCTACTTAGTTCGGGCACCACTTGTAGAGTCATTAGGTTAATTGGAAAAGATGAAAAAATATGCACCCTCCTTCACCGGGAATCGAACCACGGACCTCTGGAATACCAGCCCAGCGTGCTACCGTTACACCACGAAGCACGCTAGGGAAGTGGGAGAAATATCTTATAACTCTACATACCTCAGTTTAGGTACACAGCTTAGTATACTGTGCATAATAATTTAAGGAACCTACTCAACCCCGTAAAATAAAACTTTCAGTCAAACATTATGCTTAAAATATTTAAAAGCGTAAATCCACAAAACCATGTATTTTAAATAATTCAGTTCCGTATATTTTAAAGTGCTTCATAATTTTGTAGCATAAATTTATGTCAATAATAAAAATATTTTAGATCATCATCATGACAGGTGGCCACACTGCTCACTATGTAGGCCGATGCCTAAATTTCAAGAATTATCCACGTTAACTCTTTGGTTACGTTCGATTTGCAGTTCCTTTCATTTAATTGTTCAAAACTCTGATCCACTGAATTCCATCTCAGCCGTTAACTTCCCTGTAAACGTTTTTTTTTCAGCATTATCATATCTCATTCGGATAATGTAAGCCATCGAATTCATTACTTTAATTTGTATAAATTTTAAGATATCAGGTTGTCTATATATCTTGTAAAACTCAAAACTGTATACCATCCTCCAAACATTATTTTCATTTATATGAAGAAATGTAGCCCGTAGAATGTTTCTTTCAAAATTTTCTATACGCCTCTCCTCCACATTTGTTATAGCTCATGTCTCAGTGTATAATGTGGTCTGGGCAAGGTTAAAAACGTCGCTTTTGTTGTAAGAAATATAGATCTGGAAAATCTATTTAACCCATAGAAAGTCTTATTTGCTAGAATTAGTCATTACTGGATTTCGAGGGATAATCTATTATCAACAGTAATAATAGAGCCCAAGTAGACAAAACTCTTCACAGTTTCAAGTTTATAGAAATTTTTTTCAAGATAAGGAGCTTGAGTTTCTAGTTTTCGAGAGAGACATACAGTTTTCTTTCTCCTCATTTATAATTAATCCCATTCGATTTGCCGCCAACTTAAGGGCAAGGAAAGCCTCCCTCGGAGTAAGAAGGGACCTGAAAATCCAATTGTCATCATCAGCATACGCTGTAGTTGCACGGATCTAGAAAACGTATGCGCCAATGATGCTTGAATTATGAATAAGTCTCTTAATGGCTACACTAAAAAGTACACAAGAGAGATAATCTCTCTGTCACACTAAATATACCATGATTTTCTGAAGAAGATTTTACCTCACACTTAGTATCTTTCAAATAAGTGTGTTTAGTTTAATACGAATAGAAGACATATAAAAATCATTCATAGTCTCAAGATAAAAATTTCTATCTATACTATCAAAAGCAGACGTAAAATAAATAAAGGGATAAGGAGTCTCAAAATTAAATCGCATTAAATTTCATTGATTGTTCATAAATCTGTCGCCGTCGCATAAATGGTACTTAGTTGACCTTCCAGCACAAAATTCATGTTGCTTTCTTAGTTAGTGAATAAGCGTATAGCAGTAGCATTAAAACAAAATTCTGGTTAAAACTTTATAAGTAATACAAAGAAAACTTATGTCGCCCAGACGATAAAGTGGTTAGAAGAGCCCGGAGAGGATGTTAGTAAATGTATAGTATCTGTGCGGCATGGGGCACTCTAAATATGCTGCGAGCCGAAAGTCCTCGCATGTGGTTTGGTGGAAGGGGAGAGAGGGGTGGGAGACCTCCAGACCACACCCCGGGATGCTTTCCTTCAGAATTAGGGTGGAAAACCGAAGTCCAGCCTATCTTTGCAGTAGCCTCTGGCAACCCAAAGATGTAGACACGACGACAACAACCAGCCAACTTATCCCGCGACAATTAGTACAAATCATCGGACCTCTTTCTAGTGAATTGGTCATAAAATAGTAATATTCCTGTCAGTTGGCATATTCTCGAAGGTCCAAATGTCAACTAATTAATTCAAATATGTGCTTTAGCATGGTAATTCCACAATTTCCTAATAGTTCCGCTGAAATATGTTCATAACCATAAGCTTTCTTAACTTTTGAATTCTTAATTGCATCCTTAATTCCTTCCCTGGCTGGTGTTGCAACTTCTGTATTTATGTTATATTCGAAAACACCAGGAGCGTCATCTTCAGAATTATCATTAAAAGGTTGATTAAAATGTTTACGTAATCATTTTAAAATACTCTATTTATAGGCTAAAATGTCACCAAATTTATTTTTACAGAGACTAGTTATCTATTTCACAGAGACTAGTTATGCATTCGTAAATAAATCTTCAAAAATCCTTTTGTTTATTCTAAATAATTTCTTCTTCTTTAATATGAGTCTATTGTAATCCTTTGCGTTATTTCATGTATTTGCCTGTATCATACTTTTATATGCATTATGAAACCATTCTTTACATGTTTCTTAGCCACTTTACCGATCACAATATTGCGAACAGTACAAATACTATCCTTAATAAGTTTCCATTTATTTTCTATAGTACCATCAGAACTTCCTCAGAATCTACCGATTTTCTAATTTTCTATACATCCAATCTAATATTATTATTTTTAAGCTTCTTATAGTCAAATACTCCTCTTTAAGCCACTTCAACAAACTTATTTGCATATGAGATTATTAACCTGACTTAAATTATCAAGAAGGGATCAAAATACATATTAGCCCCACGATATGGTCCCACATCCATCAAGTTTGAATAACAGCATCAATAAACATGATCAATATGTATACGTGACCCACGGAGCTCGCAAAGGGGCCTTATGAGTACTTTTATGTGAGAAAGACGTGCTTCCTATAATCGTACTATTTGAAGTGGTAAAAATCTACCAAAATAGTCCATTAATATTAGTTTTGACTAAAACCTCATGTTACAAATTTAAATGCCTTTTCTCTACCACATTAGCAATCCTCCCATAACGATCTTTACGCATTATTTTGGACATATTTTGTCTAAATTATCCTAGAAAGTTTCCTTCCCTTCATCCATCTTAACTTCGAGAAGGATGTAAGCATATATAACACTAGAATTAACACTTTCGCATCGGTAGAGGCTAAAATATGTTTCACTCAAACACCTAAAATGCTCGTATGTATGTATTTTTATTAGTATGGATTTCTTCCCCACATTCCAAGTAGAATGATACGGCGCTAACAATAACCTACTTAAGTAAAGCGAAAGATTTTCTATTGGTATCTTCATGCGCTTTCACTCCTGCATTGCGTTTTCCCTAAGGATAGGATTGCAACTTCGGGAATCAATAGCCAAACACTGACGCGAAGTAAAGGAGAAGGAAGGGATATTCAAACAATAGAACTACTTTTAGTGGCTTCAAAAGAATCATTGAGGAACTCACGACCCATATCATTGAGGAACTCACGACCTTAACTCAAGATCTGACGATCGCCTACACAAACATGCCAATGCAGTTGCCAGTCAAAGACTAATCGGTCAAGTTAAAGGAAATTCCATCCCGAAATTGTACTGTGACAGAGCCATATCGACTATTATAACCAGACTTAGGACAAAACACTTAAAAGGGATGAGGATTTCTGCAAACGGACAACGTAGTTACACTAACATTTGTCCTCATTGCCCAGATGACATCCCACTGTCTTGCCATCACATCTTCAGCTGCCCGGAGTCCAGGCCAGAGTGTTTGACATCGGCATTGAAGACCCAGTGAACCTACTTTATACTGATAGAGCTGCCGAGGCTGCAAAAGCTGTCTTCGACAGCTTCGAAGCTATATAATTGCACTTTGTCATAGACACGCCATCATCATCATCAAAAGAATCATTAACATGTCATTTAAAAACTCCTAAAAGCAATGAGCCATGCACTAACCTGATTTGGGAAAGCACCAGGTAGAACATAATTCAGGCGTTTGGGAGACCTGCTGGTGTCTGAACGGTCCGGCGATGCGAAAGAGTTAAATAGCATTTCTTGAATTCTAATTTTACACAGTGTCGATTTTGCTTTAAAATCCAAAATCTGATACGCCAAAAATTTACGGTTTTATTATAAGCATTCTTTTGTTTAAAAAAAAATCTGCTCTCTCTATATGTTCTTTTAAGGTGACATCTGTAAAAAGAACAGTATGATTTCTTTTATTCAAAATACCACTGCTAATCCACCCAGCCTTTAGAAACCAATCATATAAAATGTATACTGGTTCCACTGCAGAGATATTAGGTATATTTTTTGAAGCAGGAGGACTGAAAAATTAGCAACGCATTCGCCGGGAATCGAACCGAGAACTTATCAATTACGCGCTGAGCGTGGAGACCGTTGCACCACGAAGGCTCGCTAAGAAGACGGGAGAAATACCTTATGCGACTATTGCAGGAGTAAATGGAAAACCTTCTTTTGATGAAGAGACAAGATATTCCGATTAAACAGGTCTCATAGCCTTATTTCGTTTACCGAGTAGCTTCTGTAACGTCATGCTCGATTTT